ATTATAGATGTGTTTTTAAAAAATTAGATCACTAGACACATTTGATTATGTGAAAATTTGTAAAATATTCTAATAATTTGATGTATTTTGAAAAGTAACCTACGTTTCGAAAAATTTGAAAACTAACTTTATTTACATTAGAAATTACAAATAGACCTTAAATAAATCAGACCTATCAAGTATTTATAATAATCAAAAAACTAATCACATGATTTTAACTTAATGGATATTAATAAATAAATAAAACATAATTTTAGCATAGGCACCTAGCTATGGTTTTCTCAGTTTGACGAAAGTTTTGGTCTTCTTAAGGAATATGAATTATCATTTGCTTACTTTATGTTTATTTATTGGTTACTCTTTAGTTTGAATTTATGGTGTGATTTTGAAATTTAGTGTTTTTTCTTCTTCTGGTTTTATGATTTTGAATGTCTAATTTTTACTTACTTGAATTTGATTTCAAGAACTTCTCACAAATATTTCATAGGTCTGCATAATACCTCTTTTCTCTGTTTTTATATCTTTAACTGTGTATAAAGAGATGAAATCACCATCACTATATTATAACTCAATTCACATTTGATTATAATAATATAATGAAACTTACATGGATGAGAACTAGCAAGTATGTTTAATCTAAATTTAATATAGTACTAAAATAACATGTTTTTCTAAAACACATATTGTTTACCTATTTTTGGGTGTAAGTCTAAACTGTTAAATCTGACTAGATATGAATTTTGACGAATTTATCTGTGTTTTTTGTTTTCCAAAATCTAATTAAATAACTAAAACTAAATATATGTTTTTTGGTGAAATATATACCCCCTCTCTTATTATTGGGCTATTTACGCTCCAAGACACTTATTCATAAACATATTTCATCTCTAGACACTTTCTAGGAAATGTATATTTTATTGATGGTCAATAATATCAATTTCACCCTCAACTAAATTTCTCCATCCATTTACTTCTCTAACTAAAACATAACCTTTATTTATCAGAAAAACTAAATAATCTACTCTAAAAACAAAATCTAATTTATCTCATTCTGTGTCGTGTCTTCATCGCTTCGGACATTTGTCCGGTTCCAATACCATGGTTGTTAGCTCCTGTGAATCAGTATACTAACTTGTTTTCACATAAAATAAATAAATAATACATGTATGTGTTAATCAAATCAAAACATTTAAATATTACTTTCGTTATATTAAGGGTTTTTCTGTAAAATAACTTTCCACAATAATTTTTTTTTTGTAAAATTATCCTTCAACTTAGAAAAATGCAAATCAATGGAGTCTAACTCTGTGAAAATTTGCAAAATAACCCTCCACAATAATTTTTTTTTGTAAAATTATCTTTCAACATAGTAAAATGTAAATCAATGCAGTCAACTCTATGAAAACTTGCAAGATAAAAATAACCCTCCACAATATTTTGCAGGTTTATTTTGCAAGTTTTCTTAGAATTGACTGTATTGATTTCCATTTTTCTAAGTTGATCTTCCATTGGGGTTACTAAATTATCTCCCATTTCCTCGGCGCTCTCTCTCTCAATCCGCGGAAGATTGCAAACCCAAGTCGGATCATGCATGTACGGACAAGAACAGAGCATTTGAATTTTGATTTCAAACTCATAGCACTCTTCACAATTCTCTTGACCAGCCTTATCGGAGTTTGCCTACCGTTCTTGGCTCGTTTTGTTTCAGCTTTCCAACCCGAGACATCGCACTTTCTTATCGTCAAATACTACGCTTCTGGAATCATCCTCGCCACTGGTTTCATCCACGTTTTGCCTGATTCCTTCCAAATGCTCTTGTCTCATTGTCTTAGCGATGACCCCTGGCACAAGTTTCTTTTCACCGGCTTTGTCGCCATGATCTCAGCAGTGTTGACACTCATGGTTGACTCTATCACCACCATTGTTTTCACCAAGTCGGGAAAGAGGGACCCAAATGCTGACATGGCATCTGTAGAGACTCCTGACCAAGAGATGGGCGCGTCCCACCATTGTCATGGTCTTACTCTTCATCATAGTGATGACAAGGAGTTTGGTTCTACTTTGCAGCTTCTGCGATATCGTGTTATTGCCATCGTTAGTATTCTTCTACAGTTTTGCTCTAGTTTTTCTTCTTTTAATTTACAAAAAATTAACTCTTGATTTTATTCCAATATATAGTCCTAGTTTTAACTGGAGGAAAACGAATTTTGTGCTCTAAGTGCTTTAAATTTGTATACATATTGTCTCTTGATTCATTATTACTAGGCCAATACCCCCGCGCGTTTTTGTATACTTAAATTTGCTTTTAATTACAGTTTTATATTGATAGGATAAATGTATAGTCTAAATGATTTGTGTTTTGAGAGAAAAAAAAAAAAACATTGATTTGGCCAATCCGATTGTTGTAATTTTCAACCAAATTAAATGAGAATGGATATTAAATTACCATTATTAAAAGCACACTTGTTTAGTTACGTTCAAGCACTCATCCTCCTTCATTTTTATAGTTTTTGTCCTTAGAATTCATGTATTTGAGTTCGTGGTGGAAAAACAGAACAAATATGCTCACATTACTAAAGCTTGAGCGTAAAATCATTGTGGTCATAACGAAGGTATCTACGGCACCTCTTTCAGCTTGCACTTCCGTATAAATCTTCTTGAAATTCTTTCGAGATTTTCACTTGACTTGCAATCCATGATTTTGCATTTTGACTATCTTCTTTCTTTCGAGAATTTTTTCCCTTCAGATTTGCATAGTAAGATTAAAAAAGAAAAAAAAAATGCAGAGCAGCATAAATTATACAAAGTTAATAGGGTAATTCGTTATAAGTAAAATTACAGTAGAGTTCCCGAAGTATCATGGATTTGAAATTTGGCTGATTCCACTGGCATAGAGAGCGTAAATGATCCCCCGAATTCTTCGTTAAAACTGGTTAGAAAATCATGTGTAGACAATGAATGTGATAGAGCAACTGAATATCACATAATATATAGAAGTACAACGGCTCTCTAGAAAAAACTCAATTACCTCTTTGGTAACCGAACCACCCAAGTGAATTTGAGTACTTTTTGTGAAACATTCTCCTCGTATCATTTAGCTCATGCAAAAGAGGATGCAACGACTAAAAACGAGACACCTTTATAACAATTTTCCCTGGAAAAATAAGCGTAGCCGAGTACTATGCTTTATGCCGGGAAAAATAATCTTATTAATCATTATTAAAAATCATAGTGAGTCAAGTTCGTTGTTGTGAATAGGTAACTCCCATATCCTCACTACACTCACAGAGGCCATAATCCTTTTAGTGTGACTGAGATAGGGTGTTCATCTCTACTAATTTTTTCTCAGGTTATCACAATCTTATCAGAATGTCAACCAAGCATTACCTTCCACAAACTAAGAAGCCACATACTTGGCATGCCCATACGTTATACGTTTTTCCACAAGTATAACAACTTAATATCTCATCTTGTTGTTGACACTATCGACAAACCTGCAAACGAAATGAGCATGTAGCAAACATGTGCAAGGTATTGGATGAATAAGATTCATTTTACGCCACAAACATGAAAGCTTTAACGTTGCAAAGTATGGAAAATGTATTAGATTAGCCAACACTTCAAATAAATAAACACCAAAAAAGGCAACACCAATCCACCCGATAGAGTGAAAATACACACATAAAGGCATAAAGGATAAGCAACCACCTGAGAGGACAAATAAATTCACTTGAAACGGATGAAGAGTGAGACGAGTGATCAAAAAGAGTGTTGAGTATACCATTGGTGTGAGGATCTAACCTCTTTGCATGAGTCAAATTCTATACATGGCAACATCACCTTACGACACAACAATGGCACAATCACTCAATTTTCCTTATCAAGAATAGAGTAGAGGAACACCGATCGACAATCAAGATTATCCCACTTGCAACAACCAGATTTATAATGACTTGAAGAACTGTGATTACCCTGAAGACAAACAAAAGCCAGAGAAACAAAAATTAGATTTGTACATGTGAATCTCGTTGTAACACAAATCTGAATCGAGAACAAAAAGGCGAATATATATTAGGAGTGATAAAACCTATTCAAATTTTTTGGTAAACTCTGAAATCAAATTCGTACCTATGATTTAATGAAGAACAATTGGTCGAGAGGCCGCACTTTTGTTTGATCGTCTTGCTCTCCTCTCACACTCCCATTATTGAAAAAGAGTGTAAATGTGACAAGTTAAAGTGAAAATTGTGAATATTAAAGAGTATGAATGAGAGGAAGGGAAACCTGAATCGCATGGAGGAGTTTACTTATTGAGAGATTACAGAGCGAGTGAGTAAAATGAAAGCGGATGGCCGAGAGACGTTGTCCCAACCAAAAAAAATGGAGGAGAAGAAGCGTCTGAAGGTGGATGTACGGATACATCGTGTTGCAGGATTCTCATTGGTTAAATCATTGCCACGTGTCACCTTCTCCTTTGCTGACGTGGCATTAGGGTTATTTTAGTTTTCTATATATGCACGGCTTTGTTTGTCTCTAGTATTTTTGTGTGTAGTAAATTTTATGTAAGAAATGACATACCACAAAGAATGGGGAAGAACTCAAATTTGAAGTTATCAATATTTTTTGTAATTATAATATGTTTTTGAATTTAAAGTCTTCGACATTTTACTTTCATGATCTAAGAACTTAAGATGAGATAAAGGCTTTGAACGATTGGAAAATCGTAGTTAAATGTGTACATAGAAAAATGACTGCTAAGAAACATGAATCTACAATCTATATTTGTCTGTTAATGTACAACACTACAAAAAGAGGTATTGAAGATAACATGATAAGAATTATTTTCTCCAAAAAAAAAAAAATTATAAGAGTTAGAGGCAAAACCTGCCTCGTATGAAAGTATCTCAAAGCTCCCTTACCATTTATAGAAATGTGTTCAAGAGATCTGGGTGGATGATGTTAATGGCTTTACACGACCGTGATTTGTGCGGGAGTGACTTATGTATAAGTTTTCTTAAATAAAATATGGGAGACATTTGTCTTCCCTCCTACCAAAAAAAAAAACCTGCCTCGTATGAAAGTATCTCAAAGTTCCCTTACCATTTATAGAAATGTATAATATAACTATCAAAATTGTGGTTTCAGACAAAACAAATTGAAAATGCAATAACTTGTCATGATAAACAAAAACTCCTTATTCTTGTTGTTGGTCTAGATTTAGAACCAGACAACTCTCTTTTGTAGACATCATGAAAACATTAGAACTATTATTTTAAAGATGTTTTACAAAGTTTAAATCTTTCATAGATCGAATAACTTATGAAGAGACTTCGAGAGTATCGACTCCAAGGCATACAAGCGTCAAAGTTTTAGTTACTACTTGTTAGTGACTTAAGAAGGTATTATTAGCAACTAATTTTGAGACCGAGGTTTTTAGACATACATTTTTCTTGTTCTAATTCTGTCCAAATTAGCATGTGCCAAGTCACTGAATAGTATGGTTGTAATAGGAAAGATGAGACCATTTCCAATAGATAAAATCATCCCAGAGGATCACGAAGAGGCAATCAAAGATCTGCTAGGGTGAAAATTTTACACCGATATTGTTTTTGGGTTATCAAGATATTTTTATTCTTCTTTTATTTGCTCGACTTCTTCCTCTATGCCTCTTTTGGTCTTAGAACCTCTTACTATAATTGAATTTCCACTAAATCTGCGCTTTGAGGCTATTAGATTATAACAAGTATCTTAAGATCCAAAGTATTTAAAAGAGATGAGAGATATAATTACTTTCAGATTCCAATAAGTAAAGTCATAACCTTTTCATAGAAATGCCCATTATATAATGAAGGAGAGAACCTAAGACGCAAGGTATGATGCAACTAAGTGTGTATAATAAAGAAAAGAATTTAGATGCACAACAAAGAGAAACAAAGGCTTGTCTATCAATATTACATAAATTAAATAAAAATTTTGCCAAAATGACAAGGATGAGGTCTAAGAAGAAGCAAACCTAATTTCGACTTCATGTTTCTTCGCCGTCTATAGCATTGTGTTTGAGTCCAATCTTAAGATGAATAGAAATTCCAAAGAGAATTGTGCTTGTGTCCACTAATACCTAGCATATAACCAAAAAAAATGCATGAATATTCACTAAGAGAAGCTACCATGTTGACGTTTAGAATCAAAATTGGTAGACAGAAATGGTGATGGTGATCCAACACTCTGCCTCACAACAAGCTACAAACAATGCCGCTGTTACTTACACATAATGCTCTGACGGAATATTCTAGCAAATAAAAGCAAAAACACTTCACCAAACTGCACATAGAAAGTGACTATCATTTTGGATAATCAAAAGAAAGAAATTAGTAAGGGGGAAATAGATCAAAACCATGCTTTTTACATCAAACTGCTTAAGAACACAGAATTACCTCCCAACACGATGAGCAAGCATTTCACCTAATGGAATAGTAGTACCATATTTGACCTTTAAATCGCACATCTTTGAGGGAAGATGTTTTTTTACCTTCATTATTCTTTTGTATAAAGAGTTTTGACATTGTGAAATAAGCTTCAGGTCCATCTGGTCAATTCATGATAGTTTAATTGATCTGCTTAGTAATCACTAAATCG